TGGCCAAAGTCATCAAGAAGAACAGGCGAAACATTTTCAGTATTTCTTAGTGGAACTGACCGTAGTTCACAAATGGAGCAGTGTATGAATGTAAGCTTAGAGTTCCGGAGTTGAGATCTCTCTCATGAATACAAAACGCGAAAATATACGAGATGGAAGGCCTATTGTTTTAATGATTTCGTTCATGACAGATAAGACAAAGCTGATCTTGGCATTGATGACTGATAGTGTAAAGTCTAAACTGTTTAGGACCAAAAAGCAACCGCCCAGAGTGGGCTTCCTGTGTGCACCTTCCCCCACCCCACTTATCACCCCACATGCCTTTACTCAGTTGCTACAGTGCAAATAGTGCAAAAAATATAAATTCAACTAAATGACTACGTTGTAACTAAAAAAAGTTTATTAAAAAAATCTGTTAAGGTTCAGTAACTTACGCCTATAACAACAATTGCTGACGAGTCGTTCTGATTACACTGACGTCTTGTGATTGGACATTTTAGATTGAGTTTATCACTTTTTCGCGAATTTCAGTCCTTTAAGCTAGGATTCCTTTCAGTGAGTTCAGTCATTATTCTACTGTCGTTTACTCACTCCCAAAGAACACTTTAGACCTAATTAACAATTTACGCATAAGATTTGTATGAAAAAAAAAAACTGTTGATTAGTCGTTAAAACCAGGTTGCTTATTATTATTTTATTTAACCTGGTTTCCATAATGATCACTAAGATCGCTGTGATCGCTGCGATGGCTGAGCAAAACAAAGTTCATCGATCGTAACAATCATAGTGATCATACGGAAACCACTTTCTAGCGATCGCTGAAAATTGGTTTCCACATGATCCGTATCATTGATGCGATCGCTGAACTTTTATTTTTCTCAACGATCACAGCTATCAGCCCCCTTAAGCCTGGTTTCCATATGATCGCTGTGATCGCTGCGATCGCTGGAAAGTGTTTTCTTTATAATCGCTATGATCGCTGCGATCACTGAACCTTTTTTTTTTCTCAGCGATCACAGCGATCATAACGATCATATGGAAACCAGGCTTTATAGATGACGTTTCTTTAGCTTGTTGTTAATCCTTGAAAAATGAAGGATTTATAGATTCCGTCCTAGCCAAAAAGGTTTGAACAAAATTTCGCCAAGATTTACATCAATCCTATTTTGTTTGTCTATTTTTTTTTTCTCATCCAATCAATTCAAGCTCAGACAAAACGCACTCAAAAATTATTTATACAAGAGAATTCTGAAGACTGCCAGCTCAGCCAAAACAAAATACTGCGTTCATCAAACCTAAATGGCGTCGAAACACCCAAATTAAGGCTTTTTAGATCAACGAGTACTGAACGAAAGCGAAATTAGCGAGTCAAGCAACGGCGTTTTTAAGCGATGCACTTTAACCGGAAACTAGTTTTTACCGACTCCTTTTCTCTTGACTTATGCCTTGGCGCTACTAAATCTCTGTTGTCAAGTATCTTTAGTCTTACGGCGACGATTTGCCCGGAAATTTGGTCAAAATTATATATGGCCCAAGAAACCAAAAAGTCCACTTCCAGTTGACGTGCGACGCTCGAAAAGTTCGTTGCTTAAACTTGCAGTTACTTGAAGATGGACGTAAAGGCTAGTATCTCATTATACTATATAATGACTCCCATGGCAAACGAGATACCGGAACACGAACTTAACGAGTGGTTGAAAACATTATTTTTCGCTCTCGAACGAATGTGTCTGCTGGGATCAACCATCAACTTACTAACGAGAGCGCTACGTTTCCAGTTCTGCACCCCCGTATATCGACTTGACTGATACAGAACTCTCTCTGAGACAGTGCTTAATTAAAGGGATGTTCAGGGGCACCCAACGGCAATTTTCGGGAAAATATCTGTTCGGAAGACGATTTGAGATCTAGAATTTTCGGAGCATTTGTTGTAAAATTTCTTGCTTGCCTTCCTCTCCTAGGATTTTCGAACATCTACAAAATGTTATAATTACTCATTTTTAACGCATTTTGACACTAAAAAAGGCCACCTAGAATTTTCGGGAGCCTTTTCCTGGCTGAAATTTTCGAGAAGGTAAGTTTTTATCCCTATAATTTTCGGATCACTAGACTTTCAGCTAGGAAATCCGAACAGATGAAAAGTTTTTAGGGGATAAAAATATGCCTATATCTACCGTTTGAATACTAAAATACGTTCAATAATGCCATGTTAAGTGGTTTTGAACTATATCCTCGTTGGGTGCCCCTGGATGTTGAAGAATCGTAAAGGAAAATAATATTTTCCGGTTTGTTCTTATGTTGTTGTTGCTTTTTTTTAAGTTACAGTGAATAATTTCTAAAAGGCTTTCTTAAGTATCTTTGTCTGTGTGTACACGGCGGTGTGACACAAAAGTAAAGATGGATGGCTTGTTTGTTCTGGTTAACGATAATTGATAAGAGTTTGCGCTGGAAACAATATCGCATGCAAATTGGTGGATTGAAATTTTTCACTCGCCCTGATAATACTCATGCAAAATTTAAAACAATTTTGTCTTCTTTTCGCAACCTTTTAACATGCTCTTTTCTTATACAACACACGCAGTTGCAGCCGGCTGACATTAACTAGACACTGAGTTATTATAATCAACCTAATAATTTTGTTATTCTCATAGTATTTAAACGTCGTTCTTGGAAACATTTTAATCTTACCATGTAGGAAAGCGATACTTTCCAAAGGTTAGTAAAGCGTGCCTCTTTCGGTTCAAATGAATTTTGATTTCTGTTGAGACTGGGCAAGAACTGGAAGAGTATATAGGCTATCATTATTGAGGGTTCCGATCAGGGAATCCGAGTATAAGCAAGGGGACATAAATTAAAATTACTAAAAACATTGTTTGTTAATTTTTTATTAGGGCAAGAAACGATTTCGTTGTCAGGATACGTTCTCGACAAAGTAGGTACCTACTTAAGAGACTTAATGTCACGAACAAGAATTTTAAAGAAAACATCAACTGCCGAACAGTTATTAAAACGGTTCAAGTATCGCCATATTAGTCTGGATCGTAAGATTCGTTGTAAAAATAATACGTTCAGGAGATCGATCATGACGAACACTCAAGTCAGGTTTGAATAAACAAATTTCCCTTTTAAGACTTTGGCAATTATCATCCGCGCGAGATTTAATCTTTCCAGTCTAACTATCTTCCAAAGATTTAATAACTCATTCAGTCTTCGACCATCATGAAAAAATAAGGAACTTCACGCAACCTCGCAATAGATGCAAATTACTTGAGGCATTGACACGTGGCGGGAACAATTACTTCCGGTCACCGCAGCAGACCATTCTGTAGTCGTTGCTCAGCTGGAGTGACGTCACGAGAGGAATAGCTCAGGGCTGAATCCTCGGCCCTCTGATATTTAATATTTTTATAAATGATCTATTTTATGTTGTGAAACAGTGCAATCTTTTCAGCTATGCCGACGACACAAACATTGTCTATGCCCATACAGAGGTGGAAAGGGCAATCAACTCAGATCTTGCGTTGGTAGACAAATGGTACGATCTGAACGGTCTTAATAAAAGAAACAATTCAAAATACCAAGCCATTGTCATGGGTAAAAAACAAATAAACCGACTTTTAGGTGTAAAATTACGATCATTCCCATAACTCCTCATTTGGAGATGCTTGGCGTCAACATTGACGACCAGTTAAAGATTGACAACTATGACGTGTCTAAGGTTTCCAGAAAAGTGTCACAACAGATAGCGGTACGGTATTGAATTGTATTGTATTGTATTGAATTGTACTGTGTTGTATTTAAAGTACTGCTCGCATATGTAATGCCGGTTGCGAATTTTTACCTGTTAAAGAACCCCTTGTCATGATCATCATAAGTTTCACCAACATCCGGCGCAAATCCAAAAAAGCCCAAGAAATGGGTGCTACTGAAAAATGGAGGGGTTAACTTCTCTGTTAACTGTGGTGATGAAGCGGTGAGTTGGTTAATCAAAGGAAACTGCATGTTATGCGGCCAACTGAGATGATGAAGAAAAGTGGCTACTGGTGCCTAAAATTCTATAAGAAGTACTGTTTTAATAACTCGCATTTCGTCAAAGAGAATAGAATTAATTTCGCAGTTCTAACTTTTTTCATTTGCATCTTCAAACGTAAAGCCATATGCTTCAGTCACGGGAACATGTCAGGGTGAAGACATGAATAAAATCGTTCCATTCATGTACAATTTTCGAAGCTTATCTAATTTCCCTACATTTTTCTGAAGTTTAATTTTCACACATTTCATTTCCCATCAAATTTAGGCTAGTTTTCTTAGAAAAAAGGAAGCCTAAACTTTTTTGACTCAAAATGAAATGGAAAGAGGAATCAGAAAAATTCTCACTTTCTTAATACGTTAAATTGCATAATTATAAAATTATCGGGAAAATAATACTGTCTGAATCCCTCGTAATTTCGGGAAGACTCAAGTTCCCCAAGGATGATCTAATTCATACAAATTTTATACCACCACTTAGAATGCTTTTCTAGATATTTAAAAGTACGCTCATCCTGGATAGCCAAAAAAGTGTTTTTAGCGAATTTAGGAGGAAACTGTTGTTGGGTGCCGGCCCCTGATGAATACTGCAAACTTGAAACTTTCTTAGCCCGATTTTTATCAGGACCATTGAGAAACGGGCCCCAGTTTCTTTCTTTTTTTAGGTCATACCTGGCTCCGAGGCTGAAAGTAAAAGACCACAACCTAGAAGGTTTCCAAGCACATCTTTATTGCAACTATATATTCACCACAATAGTAAAGCAACTACATTTGTTTGCTAACAGTCTCCACAAAATCAACTACAATCATATCATTATTTTATCGTTCCCTTTGCCTAAAGACCCCTTCTCAATACAAAAAGATAATATTACGCTTAAAGTGCATATTATTTCTCAGGTTTGCGATTCACATATTTGTTACTTCTTTGTTAGGTATAACACCTAGCTTATGCTTGGGACGTGACGTTCGCTCTACACCCACTTGTACAGGGCGCTGTTTAGGTTATATTTCTTGTTGTAATGGTTTACCACTGCAAGGTATGTGTGACCTTTGTACTCAAATGATGTCATACCATGCCCTCCATCTGTTGAAATCTCTTGGTACTTGATGAACTGCGCTCCAGAAGCCTGGTACACAACTGACTGAGTGTTGTGTTTCTTACTGTCATCATAGAAATTAGACACACCCAGGTACGTTTGACCGCTGATCATAAATGGGTGCCAAGCGACAGCCCCGTGAGTAGGTAAGGACTGGAACAGGACGAACTTGTTGCCATTCCACTTGTAAACGAAGGAGTCGGTGTTGTGTTTACTTCCAGAGTAGCGGTTGGCAAAGACAAGGAATGTGTGAGTGTTAATGTTAAAAGACATGACACCAAATGCTCCATAAGTCTGGAGAGACTGCAGTTTAACAAAGTGACGTCCTGACCATTTGAACACAGTGGATTGAACAGAATGCTTGTGTTGGGAGTTGTAATAATTTGCAAAAGCGATGAATGTGTCACCGTTTATCACAAACGCTGTACATCCGAAGGCACCTTCAGTTGATATTTCTTGAAATCTGTTAAACTTGCCGCTGTTCCATTTGTAGATAACTGACTTTGTAGAGTGGGTACTTCCGTCATGGTGGTTGGCTACTGCGAGATACTTCTCCCCGTACATCTTGAAGTACGTGAAGTGATTTGCTCCGTTTGTTGACAATTTCTGAAAGTCGACAAACAGCTTTCCATTCCATTGATAGACTGTAGAATCCAGCCGGTGAGTTCCATCGTAATGATTAGCGACAGCAAGAAAGTGTTTGTTTGCGATAGAAAAGTACTCCAGGTCAAAAGCTCCTCTTGTCTGCAGGGTCTGGTACAAAGACAATCTTCCAGTTGAGTTGTCCATCTTATAGATCATGGAACCTGTCTTGTACTTTTTAATGTCCCCATGATAGTTGGCAAAAGCAAGAAACAAGCTTCTATCAATGGTGAAATGTTCCACATCTACTGCTCCGCGGGTTGGTAGATCTTGAACTTTCTCAAAGAAGTGGAATCCAATAGAGCAATCTTACACAAGAAAAAAAAAATGTTGAAAATCTTTGTTATTAAGAAATCACAAGAACAAAACAGCTAAAATAAGCGAGAAGGGACCCGAAATCTCCTTTTACATCTTCTCACTTCTTTGTTCTTCTTTAGCTTCTACAGCTAACAGCTGGTTCATATTAATCACTAATAACTCCTACTCCTACTACTAACAATCCAAATAGTGGAGCCTTTTATAGCCAAACCTGGTGATGTTTGGGTTTACTGATCGTGAGAATAAAAGAAGGCTGGCAAACTCAGTGTAGGTAATGTTTTGCTACCTCTGGGCCTAAACGGCTGCGATTGGCAAGAAGCTGCGACCCAATGAAAAACTAACAACGTTGGTTAACGAACCCAAACAGGAACTAATTCAACAAGGCTTAATACCCTAAGTCAGCTCTGAACTCACAAACACAACTTCCAGTATAAAACTCACTTCTGACAAGGACATGTCAAAAATATTTCAGAAACGGAATTAAGTGAATTTGAAGGCCAAGCATAATTTCAAGTACGAGTGAAAACATAAGATTAAAACAGGAAAACACCAAGAGAACATAATCCTAACTAACCATGACCCCCCAATGAAACAAAAACGCAACTTTAAGGATAAGTCAAAATACTTCACAACAGAAAAAAAAAAACAACAACAAAGGAAGGTTACTTAATATGTGCTCTACTCTTGAATTTCACTGTAGAGAAGTCACGTTTTTATAAAATTAAAATTCGTAAACTCTTCTAATTCCAATAAATCAATGTATATCATAGACAACAGTAATAAAATAATGATAAAATGTTCTTACCGGTTAAACAGCACCTTGATTTGCTAGAGGATAGGCTCTAAAACACAAAATAACGACAACAAAATACAATTTAATTACAAAACTAACAATCTGCTGATGTAGTTATTTATGAAACACTCCCTATACAGTCATTGTTTTTTTAAATAGCATCTCCCAAAATCAGACCCCAAGTGTCACCAAGTATTAGCACCTGAGGTAGTTCAGTCATTTTCTAAAGTATCCTTAATAAACACGGACACCTCTCAGAAATGGACACTGAATATTTCCAAAACTAGTTTTTCCATCGAAAAGCACTTAAGGGCGGGAATACAGCCGTTCAAAATGACAGTAATGATGATCTGGGAAGCTTCATCTGATCATATTTTTAAATACAATTCTACTATTGCCTAAAGGAATGGTAATTAAATTAATTTGGCTTATTAAAATAAGGTTTACTCTTACAAAAGATAATAAAGAGTGTAAATCTTGTAATCTTTTAACGCAATAATTCCTTCGTCACCACGAGATCCCTTTTCACCCTTTGTCAAAAAAAGCCCAAATATCTTGCGGCAAATACCTCAAGGTTGCCATGGTATTTTTGTAATTTCACATGTGAAATTACAAATTAACGCTGAAATTTGGCGCCAAAATTAAGGAGTAATTCGTCACCTATGATATTATAAGGATAATTATCACCAAAGGTTATAAAGAGTGAAAATCTGGGAGTTGTAAGGTGGTAATTACCTTTGTATCACACGTTCCCGAAATTCCTTTTTGTCCTTGTGATCCCTTCTCTCCTTGGGAACCTTTGTCGCCACGAGATCCCTTCTCACCCTTATTAAACAAAGCATTTATAATTATAATGAACATATATTAATATTCTAGTAGATGGCCAAAAAACTCGGAAATTTTAAAACCTGATCACCACTTTATCCTTTACTGTAGCGAACTTGTTTTATACCATAAACGAATCCGTAAAGAAATAAAATTCGACCTGTTTAGTAAGTTTGGTCGAGCGCCAGGGCGGACATACTAACTAACAGGTCGAATGTAACATTTAGAACCATGAGGGACGTGAAAATTGAATGAGTGGTGTGTGTGGCTGTGTTGGATAAAGCATGTGCCTTCGTTTTTGTTTTGGACTCTGAAAATTAGATGGCAGAAAAAAAAAACATAAATATTTGATTGAAGGTAAATCACGTTGGAGAACTGATTAAGGCTGTCAAAGTGTTCTTTCTTACAGACAAAAAAAGGTCATGAAACTTACACTTACTTTAACACCACCATTACTGTTTTTATCCATTCCTGGTTCTCCTTTCATCCCCTGCAACAGAAATAATAAAGAGCACTTGGCCTGCTTACAATGGACCTGGGAAAATACGTCAACAGAATCCCTAAAAACATCAATATCGATGACCTCCAGAAGATCAGCCACATTTTAAGGAAAGTGCTCTCTACTAACTAGATAATAACGACTTCCCCCTCCCCTCAGCCACTCCCCAGGAAACCGGTAGCTCCTCAGAGCTCTCAGCAGTAAGAACTGCTAACCAAGACATAATAATAATCATCATCGTCATCATCATCATCATCATCATCATCATCATCATCATCATCATCATCTGTCAAAATGATTTAAAAGCTTTCAAAGTATAAGGAATTAGAGATTGAAATCTCTAGGATATGGGGCCTTAAAATAGAAATTGTGCCCGTAGTTATTGGAGCTCTTGGCCTACTAAAAACGGGCCTGGGAAAATACACCGTACGTGGAAAAAATCCCTAGGAACATCAATATCGAAGAACTCCCAAAGATCAGTCTTCTAGGCACAGCCCATATTTTACAAAAAGAGCTGTACCAATTAAATGAAGACTGCCCCCCCCTTGGAGCCGGCTGGACAGTAAAAACTGCGAAAGAAAAACATAACAATAACAATAAGTAATTAAAGCTAACTGTGACAAAGGAGTGATGATGATGATGATGATGAAGATGGTAAATAACAAATAGAGACAATCTATACTGTGCTGTGATCAAAATAAAGCTAACAGGTCTGGTTATAATTTTGATCATTTTGCTTAGTCCAACCTAAATTTCAACACTCAAAAGACATTACTACACTCCATATGATCACTGATGTTTTATGGAGAGATACACATGTATGGATCCAGAAACTAATAAAAACAGGTCCATTTGAAAAGCAGTACATAAATTACTTATAATACCTTAACACCTGCACTTCCATCTCTTCCTGGTTTCCCTGTTTCTCCTTTTTCTCCCTAACATAGATATTTACAAGGTGAAACCCAAACTGACAACACTATAACTTAGAAGATGACTGTTACTATTAATTTTATTCATCTTCTATTTATCTTTTAAGAAACTTCAGCCCTAGTGGAGAAAAATGATGGTGTATGGGTGCTGCAGTTATGGGGTGGCACATTGCTTTTTGAGTGTGGTAGGTGAAGACCGCTTCATGGACTTGCTACCACTAAAAGATGTTTATTTAGTAACAGTAACAAAATTACTAAAAATTAAAAGTCAACACATAATTAATGCACCTTTTTTCACCTTTTGTTTAGTTTAAAAGTGACCAAAACTACTCCGTTCCAACATTTAAATTAACATTAGTTCTGAGTTTATCTAGATACACCTGCTTGGTGACTACATGCATTGTATAACCATGGAATAGGGTAAGGAAGGTTACTCTGTCTTAACTTGTTCCTAATACTGTCTTAAATCAATAAATCCCCTGTCCCCACTGCCCAGGGGCCTGGGTAAAATATAAGTATTACATTTTGGATCCAGGCCCCTTAGCAGTGGGGACAGGGGATTTATCAGACTCATGCCAAAAGATATTAACTTCAAAGACTGGTAAAAAAACCAGGGCTCAAAAAATATTCAGCTGAAGGTTTTGAGACAAGTTCCCCACCCTTTTAGTGCCACTCAAGTAACTTCAAGCTCAATTGACTAAAGAGCAAAGGAACTGACGAGTCATACTCACATAAAAATGCAATGTAATTAACCACTTCAGGCAAGCAAGCAATTTTTTAAGGCAGTATATGAATGATTAGCAATAACTTGTTCCTTTTTTGTTAAGACTTGCAACAATGAAAACATGACTAAAATTATCTTTTCTGTCATGTTTCCATTGTTGCAAATATTATATCAGGTGAAAGTGCCCCTTAAGATTGGTTGTTGCAAAAAAAAAA